GACGCTCAACTGACTGAGCCAAGCAGGCGCCCCAGAATGTTTTCCTTTTTAAGGCTACACCAGGTTCCGTTGTATTTGGGACCACATTTTGTTTATCCGCTCATCCACTGACTCACATTTGGGTTGCTTCCACACTTTAGCTACTGTGAATAATGCTCGTATGACCGTAGTTGTGCGAAGATCTCTTCCGGTCCCTGCTTTTGGTGTTTTCGGGATCCCCTCCGAAGCCAGATCACATGGTAATTTTGTGTCTGATTTCTTGAGGAGTGTGTGCCTGTTTCTGACCTCTGACCTCTCCCACGCGTGCGTTCCCAGTGCTGCCAGCGAAGCCACTTCAGGACTCGGCCCCAAGTGGCCACCGGGGCCGTGCGCCCGGACGGCACCAGCAATTCTGGGACGGCAGGTGCTGGTCACGCGTGCTCAGGGATGGAGCGATGGCTTCCACTCACCATATATTTGCCCGTTGATGCAGCACTTCTTGAAAGTCATGATGTTTTGCGTGAGCGTCCCTGTCTTATCAGAGAAGATGTAATGGATCTGCCCAAGCTGCTCATTCAGCGTGGTGGTTCTCGCCTTGGCGGGCGTGTCCTTCTCAGGATAGTACATCTGCAGGTCCCAGTTTATGAAGTAACTCTGTCCCAGACGGATCACCTCCACGCTAGGAAGGCAAGACAACACATTAGCGTGGACGGTGCTCTCCGACACGAGAGGCAGGCGGCGAGCTTTGTCTCGACTTGTGCGCACCACGGCGAGCTGCTCATCTGCCAAGAGACAAGCCACGTGGTGGCCCGTGGGCCAAGCCTCTGGGTTCTCCCGACCAGACACCTCCTTCTCCAGCTTCAGGGTCAACGCACCTCGTTTGGTGCGATTTCCCACTCATTCCTGACAACATCTGGCCACAGCACCCCACGCTCAGAACACAGCCCTGTGGGACCAGGGACATGGTGATGATGTGGCAATCTCTACTCTCTTTTCTCTCATTCCCATCACACTCGGGACACCTGGAATGGCCGTGTTCACCCCTGCCCCCGTCATTCCCATGTTTACCTCTGCCCCCGGTTGTCGATGAGGTTCCACTAGGTTACAGAATCGGTGTGCTTTTGGCAAATGACCCCTACGTTGTGATTCCACACTTTGAAAAAACATAGTGTTTTCTCCCCCTAAAGTCTTATAAGGTTATAGACTGTCCCAAATAAGACAGTCTAAAGGAATCATCACAATTTGAAAACTCTAAGGGATTAAATGTATCTCAGTTATAAGGAAGCTGTTTACATATCCAGCAATTGTTAACTGGGCAAAAGATGTCTTTATAATAAGTTAAAGAGGTGGAAAAAGAACTCCCTCCCTCCCCCTGTTAATATTTCCTGAGTGCCTACTATGTACAGACAGCATTCTAGGTACAGTGGGGGGGGGGGGGGGGGCGGGGGGCTCCCCAGGGAAACAGACCCAACAAAACCTCTGCCTTCAAGGAGGTTACCTTCTAATGAGGACAAATCCACAAACCTGTACATCTATCATGTGGTGAAAATCCCCCACAGAAAATCAAAGCAGGGTGAGAACAGAATAAGGGATAGCGTGATATTTAAGACGGAGTGGTGTTGGAGCAGAGACCTGAAGCAAATGAAAGAGCAACTATGTAGATAAGAGGGAAGAACGTTCCAGACAGAGACCAGAGCAGGTGCAAAGGCTCTGTGGCAGGTACTGGCACCCGTGAGGACTATCAGGGAGGCTAAAGTTGGGGGAGACCAAGGAGGAGGTGGACGTATAAGAGGTTGTAGGAGCGAGGGGATGAACAGCACAAGACCATGCTGGGCCTTGTGGGTCACAGTGTGGCCTCCATAATGAGTTTATCCTGAATGAAATGGAAACAAAGGGTAGAAAACAAAGCAGAATGACCTGATCCACCTTGTGCTGTAGAAGGACCTTTATTTCTAAGAGAAAGAAGGAAACCATGTTAGTTACATGACATGACTTTCTAAAACCAAAAACAACATACACGGTTTATAACGTACATTCATGGTTTTAGACAAAATAATCTGTTTGGTAGCTCCCTCCACAAAGGTAAATCTTATCTCAGGTTTCTGTGGTTGTTTCTCCTTTTTTAAAGCGACTGCAAACACATGGCTCCCCAGGGCTCTACTTACTAGTGAACGAGCAATGTTAACGACATGTAATAAGATTAAAAATAAAACAAATGCACATGTAATAAAATTAAAATAAACTAAGTGCTCCTAATTACAGAAGTGTATGTGATCCTGTATGTCTCTGGGCTGTTACTTAATTGGAGGTCAAGGTAGACTCTGGCTGCTGGGGATATTCCAAGGCACAACTCCTCTTCCAATGGTCTAAAATCCAATTGATGAATGACAGCGAACTTTGACAGTAAAGAAAGAAAAAAGTAAAAAAAAAAAAAAGAAGAAGAAATCTCACTCAGCAAGGTGATCACTGTTTGTCACAGATATGACCCTGACTCCTTTATTACGCTTCAGATTAAGATAAGAAACAGAACATTTTGAGAGGCTGAATGAGGGCAGGGAGAGAGGCATTCCCAGCAAGCATTTTACAGGCAATGGATGTACCAGGTGGTAATAAGGAAGACACAGAGAAGAGATTAGGAAGGCTCCTAAAAAGAAAAACAACTAAGTTTTCCCATGTCAGTCTAAATCTCCAGCTTTCTCCCAAGGTCCTTCCTGAAGCCTGGGCTTTGAGTCCACTGAGAAGCAATCTTACCAAGTGAGTGACTTCTGAACCCCGGTTCTCTTTATCTCTAAAGTGGTCAAGATACAAAGTGCTGTGCCTGGCACAGAACAGACACTCCAAAGTTAATTTCCTCTCCCTATATTACCCCCAATTCTGAAATGAAGCTATTTTCTTACTTGTTCTGTATGACCTTTGAAACAGTTATTGATAGAGATGAAGGGGCAAAGTTGGGAAAATATACTGCATTCTTCCTTAAAGCAAAAGGCCGAAGAGAGGACAGCCTTACCTGACATAGAGAGAGATGGGCACCATGGTGTTTAGAACAATGATGTAGCCCCAGAAATTTAGGAATCCGCGGTAGGAGGGTGTAAAGTCTTCTCCATCATAGAGGTACCAAGAATAATTGCCAACTTGAGCTTCCCAGTAAGCATGGCCGATGGCCAGACCAGCAGAAAGCAGAATGAGAACAACAAAGATCTGGAAGACATAACACACTGAAGTGTTTGGAAGATGGATCGCCAACCCCCAACCCCCAGAATCTCATAGATGCTAATTAACCTCACTCAGTACTCCAGCACATTTATGATAACTTAGTAGTCTGTAAACACAACACACTTAAAGGAAAAACAGTGCCTACGAAGGCTTTGAAAGCCTATTTGAGTTCTACGGTTGGTTGATTTATCCTACGTAATACATATAGGTGCAGTTTTCTTCCCAAAACTATTGTTCGAAAGAGAAGGTTGGTGTCTTGTATTCAAATCCTTAAACATTCTCACATTACAGTGCATCCTATCAATTACTTTTACTTTGAATAATACCATACTGTTGGGGGAAGGTACCTTAGGATGAAATAATTTCAGATAACGCTGAACTGGGACATTTATGGAAAATAGTTGATGGAAATAACTTTTTAAAGGAGAACACAAGGGAATTTCACCCTGATTCAGGTAATTATTCCTGAAGACTTCATTACCACTTAAGGTTTAGACCATTTCTGAAGCGGTACAGTGAGTATTCTGTTATGGAAATGACGAGTATATACTTCTGGGATGAATGCAAAAGTCGACCATCCCAGTGGTATTCGGATAATTGTGGTAGGAAGATGATTTCCAAGGACAGATTGAAATTTCTGGCCACAGATTCCAAAAGTGCTATATCTCAAAACCACAGGGCTCAGGATGAGAGAGGAACTCGTCGTGAGTACTCTGGCCATAACCGGGACAATGACACGGAAGATGCACATGAAAAGTTTTCACGAAATGGGAGATGGGAGAAAAAAAGAACTGTTTCTTCAATGTTATTACTTTTATACGACTTTAAATGTGTATATGTAATTAAAGTACGGTAAGTATTTGACGTCTCTAAAAACTTATGCATTCAAATTAAGCTAAATACTTGGGAAAAAAATTAATTCTCATTGGGAAATTGAAGCACTGCCCAACATCTTGGGGCTGGGCCTGAGACGCTGTCCTGCTTGCAAGGTTGGCCTTTGGCCGGCATCTAGGAACTTAGATTTTGGAACGGTTTCCTCTCTTCCTCCCCCTTCCTCTCCTTATTTCTTATTCCCTGATAAGAACGGCTCATGGTGCCTGTTTGTGTAAAACAATATGGTTTATGCTGATCCCCTACATTCCTTCAGGGCATCTGGAATTTTGGTACATCCCTGGCAGATGGGGCCTGTGTGACCAGATCCCAATAAAACCCCAGGCACTGAGTCTCCAATGAGCTTCCCTGGTAGAGACAACATTTCACATGGGCTGTCACAAGTTGTTGCTAGGGAAATGGAGGGTGTCTTGCCATGTGACCCTACTGGGAGAAGACTCTTGGAAGCTTGCACCTGGCTTCCTCCAGACTTTGCCTCATGAGCCTTTTGCCTTTGCTGATCTTGCTTTGTAAATAAGTCACAATAAGTCATAGCTATGAGGGCAACTAGATGTTGTATTCTGTGAGTCCTTCCAGTGAATCACCAAACCTGGGGGTGGTCTTGGGGGCCCTCAACACACTTTATATTTAGCCTTGCCTTATATTTAGACTTGTACACTACATGCTGGGGAGGAAAGTTTGCTTTTAAGAGAACTACCCCTGTGGGAAACTAATAGCAGTAAAATCAACCTTATGTTGACAGGAGCCCGGCCCCACTAACTTATCTCAGGCTCCCTGGTTTTCCAACTGGTCACTCCAGTTGACAAAATACTCAACCATTCAGGGGACCCTACAAGTGGAACCTCGGTTCCCAAAAGGATTCTCCGATTAGAATATGGCGTTTCTGAGGAAAAGTAAGAGAGTTCTCTCTCTTGGAATGCCTCACGCATTTTTCTACCTGGCCTGCAGAGGTTAAGATTTCTCTACATAAGAAAAACATACAACAAAATTAGAGTAAAAGATAGTAGTCTAGCCTCTTATCTACTGAAACGGAAAATAAATACCGTATAAACCATGTAGTTCATCAAGTAATCAATTTTAGTTCTTTTGAATCTGGTTTTCCCACTATTTTTCATTATTTTCGTGTCAGCACCTAAAAATGGAAAATTCAATACAATCAATAGTTGGGAAAATCAATGCTTCCTTTCATTTCGATGGAGAATGAACAGAAGAGCAATCCCCTCCTGTAAAGCTTAAAAGCACATATCAGGGGCGCCTGGTTAAGTGTCCGACTTCAGCTCAGGTCATGAACTCATGGTTTGTGAGTTCAAGCCCCACATCGGGCTCTGTGCTGACGGCTCAGAGCCTGCAGCCTGCTTCGCAGTCTGTGTCTCCCTCTCTCTCTGCCCCTCCCCTGCTTGTGCTCTGTTTCTCACTCTCAAAAATAAAATAAACATTAAAAAAAATCTTAAAAGCACGTATCACATCAATTTCCCAAGAAACTCTGAAATTACCCGCAAAAATGACCAATCCATGGCAGAAGTCGGTGTTCCTAATTACACAGCCACGTAATAAAATTTTATCAGCATCCAAAGGAAAACTTGTGTTTCTCCAAAATAGTGTTCCTGTAAACTTATCCAGTCGGTTATTAGGTTCTTCACATTCAACGAAACCTTCAGAAAAATATGATTCACATAAGTATTCACACATGAAAGATTTTCTGGTTTTAATTAATTGGGACTGAGTTGAGCAACTAAAATTGAAAACAAAGTAAGGCATGTCTGCACAAACCATCAAATGCTGCCAGTGAATTTTCTCTCTGGAGACACTGGTGTGTGATTTCCAGCGCCATTTTGAACTTGAGATTTGTTTCTCTAAAGGGAGAGGGAGAAAAGGAATTGAATGAACAAACTCAGGATCTCAAAAAGGCACATAAGAAAAATTGTGCAAAGTAACGTTAGGTATACATTAGCTTTTCCTATTTTCGAACTCTCAGTTTGCCTTGGAACTTGGAATTTAGTGAGGTTATTTCCTGAACTACAGAAAAACTCCTGACTTGGAAGATGCTGGTCCCCTTTGCTGTTTGTTTTTGTGGAGCACTATGAATGGGACGGAGGCATTTACAAGCTTCCTGTCCTCCTTCTTACTAACCTCTTACTGCCAGTCTAGACTTAACTACCACACTGCTATTTAAAAACTTAGCTTCTAGGGGCGCCTGAGTGGCTCAGTGGGTTAAGCCTCTGACTCTTGATTTCAGCTCAGGTCATGATCTCAAGGTTGTGAGATTGAGCCCCACATCAGGCTCAGCGCATTGGGATTCTCTCTCCCTCTCTCTCTCTCTCTTGCTCCTCCACCATTCATGTGCTGGTGCACCCTCTCTCTTGCTCTCTCTCTCTCTCTCAAAATAAATACACTTAAAAAAATTTTAGCTTCTTCACATTAAGATGATTCTACAAGACGTATTTGTTACGGAAAGTGCTTGGACTCTATCAATCTATTATTTTCCAGAGTGAACAACTGGATCCCCTATTTTTGAAAGATACTTCTATCTAGAAAATTAGGAAAGGAGGTGGGAACCTTACCCTCCAATACTTGGTATGCCCACCCACAGAGCAGGGAAGGTGTGTGCTCAGGGACACAGAGAGTCAGGCTGGGCATTGGGGCGGCGATGCTGTCTGCACATGACAGACATCCTTCTGCAGCCTCCACGAAGATAGACTCGGGGGTTTCCATATATTCAGAAGTTGACTGTGGCCCTCGACCTCCCCATTCTGTTTGTTCTGACAGGGCACGTAGGATTTGCTACCTTCGGAAAGCTTCCGAGTCTCTCACTCATGGGGATAATAGCTGTTTTATAGGTATGATTGATCACCTGACTAATTTATAGACCAAAGACAGACCTGGTTGCACCGAGATGATCTCAGCGCTCCACAAACAAGTTACGCGCATCGAGGGTGTGAGGAGGGCTGTTCGTATCAGAGGGGGTGATGCAGACACTAACCTGGGCAGCCAGCACAGGCGAGCACCGTCCCAGCCCTGCCACTTACTAAGTGACCTCGGGCTGGCTACTTCACCTCCTTGTGTCTCACTTTCCTCAAGGGCAATGTCAAGGTAATAATCTCATCGTGTCGCTGAGAAGATTAAGTGAGCTAACACATGAAGCTAATGCAACTTAGCAGGCACTCAATGAATGTATTCAAAACTGGTCAAAAACAGAACGCGATTCCCGTAAGGGCTCCTATACTAACCAAAGCCAACAAAGGGAAAACTCAGAGTCGTCCATTGACAAGCACTTTAAAAAATCTGTTTTCTCGGAAATTCATTACTGTGATCGTCCTTCACACGTGTGTGGACACTGCTCAGCTGTACGCAAAGGGCTCACGTGTCCATCCCTTTCAACCCTCCCTACAAGTGGGGGGAAGGGCAGGCGTGAGAGCCCCACTTTACAGACGGAACTGAAAAAAGAGAGGTTGGTCTGCTAGGGACACCGCGGGACAGCCAGCAAGGGGTAGAGGCAAGGCTAGATCTCGGGGCTTCCCTTCTGATGCAATTTTCGATGCAACGAATGCGCCTTTAACGGTCGGCCTGAAAACGGGCCCAGCCAAGACCCGCTTACCCATCCAGTTCAGCTGTTTCAACGTAGCAGAGGCTGTTGGGCTCGGAGCTGGACAGGAGCAGTGTGTCGGCCTGTGCAAAACAAGACACATCAACGATACTGACATCCCCAGGGCCAAACCGAGCGCCCGCGGAAGACGGGAGGATAATAGATGAGGGACGCGGGGCTTCTTCACTTACGGGGATAAAATCATTCTTTTTCAGCCGAATGACGTCTCCAACTTGAATCTCTTTCCACTTGGCAATCTTGAACCTAAATGTCAAAAGGAATGAGAGTTTACCGGCCTTTCAAAAGTTACTGGCAAAGGATTTGGAATTATTCTCTCTGGGAGCCAATGATTTCTGGGGAAACGTGAAGAGCCCAGAAAAAAGGTTTCCTGAAACTTCGCCAAATTTCATGATGAAACCCCATGAAGTGGTCACGTGAATCACAGTATCCTCTGAAGGGAGCGGTGATGATGGTAATGACTTTGATGTGTTCTTTCCGTGTGGCGTCATGGCAGGAAGGCTCGATGGGGCTACTCAAACGTGTGGCAAGGAGCTACTGGGCTCCTCCTCTCTTTTTGCTCACGTCCTGGGCTTCCAGTCTCCTGTTCTCTTGCCTCTGGGTTGTCAACCACCTGCTCAGGACGCGGGGCCCAGGTGGTCCCAGGACAGGAACACATTCTGGCTCCTGCACGGGCCACCTGGAATCCTCAGGGAACTTTCGAGCATGCCTCCTCCCTATTAAGTTGCCTTTTCAATGAGCACGCATTGCTTTTCTCATAAGCCTAATAAGGACACTGATAAAATGCAAAATAAAATTAAACAGATGACTATTTTTCTGTCTTAAGTTTCACAGGAAAGAGCCATTTAAATGTCTAACAAATCAACATTTTAAAAAGTTTTAAAATACAGTGGTCTGTGGGGGCGCCTGGGTGGCGCAGTCGGTTAAGCGTCCGACTTCAGCCAGGTCACGATCTCGCGGTCCGTGAGTTCGAGCCCCGCGTCGGGCTCTGGGCTGATGGCTCAGAGCCTGGAGCCTGTTTCCGATTCTGTGTCTCCCTCTCTCTCTGCCCCTCCCCCGTTCATGCTCTGTCTCTCTCTGTCCCAAAAATAAATAAACGTTGAAAAAAAAAAAAAAATTAAAAAAAAAAAATAAATAAAATACAGTGGTCTGTGTGAAAACTTTTCACACATAGAAAAGATACCCATAACAGAGATTATGAATCTATCACAACTAATAAACTTAGTATTTTCGGAGGCAGAACTCCAATTACCATGTTTGTCCTCCCATTAATTCATGGATAAGAGAGACCTGGAGATTGAAACTACAGTTTTGTTTTTTCATTTATTAAAAAAATTTTTTTTAATGTTTTTATTTATTTTTGAGACAGAGACAGAGCATGAACAGGGGAGGGGCAGAGAGAGAGGGAGACACAGAATCGGAAGCAGGCTCCAGGCTCTGAGCTGTCAGCACTGAGCCCGACACGGGGCTCGAACTCACGGACTGTGACATCATGACATGAGCTGAAGTCGGACGCTTAACCGACTGAGCCACTCAGGTGTCCCCCCCCCCCAACTTTAAAAAATTTTTTTAAAATGTTTTTATTTATTTTTGAGACAGTGTCTTTTCATTTAAAATACACTTTAAATATACGCTTATACCCCAGCGTGACCAATTTTATTAGAATCGAACACACACTTCTCCATCTCAGGATTTAAAAAAAAGGAATTTGGCTTATCTTTCAATAAATTAAGTCATAGTTTACATTTCAGCATCTCTAAAACTGTAAATTAGAATTTGCAAATGGGTGTCAAATTATAAACGAGCAAGTTAAGAACCTTCCTGCCACAGCTCTTTGGGGGTGTGAGTGGCAACTGTGTTGAGCCTTTCCACTGTGACATCTGGTTTCCCCTGGGGAGGTCCCGCTGCCCTGCCCCACAATGCCCAAGTCCCCACACAGGCTTGACCCTCCTCTAGGGGGAGCTGGAGCCATGGCCCTATCAGATATGCACTCTGACCCCCAAATTCAAGGCCACTCAGAGCTACTCTTTACCAGTGGAGTCAGCCAGGCTGTGAGCCATGGCCACAGTTGTGCGGGCTGGCTAAGAACCTACTGCTCTTCATCAGAGCAATTCTAAGTGATTTGAAAGGTACCCTTCAGAACCGAATCCATTTATTTGGGAGGGGAAAAAAGCCATCCCAACAGATGTATAGGCTGACGCAGTCTATCTCCAAATTAGACACAGTGGAACAGTGCCTGCAAATCACCTTATTTTTCTCAGTGTTGACACAAAAAAAGTCTTTGAACTGGGCCTTCATCACTATTTTTTTTTCTTTTTAGGGAAGTATAATTGGCATACAATAGCCTACAGTTTCAGGTGGACATCATAGCGACTCGACATTTTCCTAGTCGCTATTTTTAGCACTTGACTTTGTGGTTCTGCCTCCAGGTGCTTGCTCAGAAAACAACTCATTACTGGTCACAGTGGACAATATTTATTTAACATTTATTGAGCCCTTTCTGTGCGTTGGAGACTCTGATGGACAAAATACAACCAGTTACCATCAAGACAGTCCCCTTGAGGAACTTATAGTTCAGGACAGAAGGGAAGACACCTACACGGATAATTCTCTTTTCTTTTTTTTTTTTTT